TATATATATATATATACACATAAATGGGATTAGAATTATAAGATTTATTTTTCTTTATTTTCTTATCGAAAGCTCAATTTTTTTGTTATTATTCAAAACCCTCATAAATAAAAATTTCTTCGTTTTAAGCTTCAATCGGTTCAGCCGTTTCAACGTTTTTTTAGAAAATACCACACATGTATTGTTGTATGGACATGTATGTATTGTTATTATATATTTTTTTTCATTTTTTACTTTAAAACCTTCTTCTATCAAAAATACTTATTAGAAATAATGAGTTTAATATCTAATCATGATGAAAATTAAAGTAATGATAATAATAATAGCGATAACCATGAACGGTTTAATAAAGACCGATTGTCATACCCCCCCTCCCCCCTCCCCCTCCCTCTCCTAGGATGCCGGGGGGTAAGGCACTATGCCTGATTACTGCTTGAATCTATATAATTGAGTTCTAACAGAATTGACAGACGTATCCAAGTTAAAATTATTAGTTCAGGGTTAAATATAAACAAATAGATTACATTAAGCCATTTTTATCATAAAAACAAAAAAAAATGTCCTAAAATAAATTATGATATTAAAAATTATTTTTCATCCCTGAATTGTTAACAGTCTTAATATAAGCGTAACTTCCTTTTCCCTTTTGTCTTATAGTTCTGTCTTATTTTCTCTTGTATTCTGTCTAGTTCTGTCTTATTTTCTCTTGTATTCTGTCTAGTTCTGTCTTACTTTCTCTTGTATTCTGTCTAGTTCTGTCTTATTTTCTCTCGTATTCTGTCTAGTTCTGGTTTATTTTCTCTTATATTCTGTCTAGTTCTGTCTTTTTTCTCCTGTATTCTGTCCAGTTCTGTCTTATTTTCGTTTACATTCTGTCCAGTTCTGTCTTATTTTCTCTTGTATTCTGTCTAGTTCCGTCTTATTTTCTCCTGTATTCTGTATAGTTCTGTCTAATTTTCTCTTGTATTCTGTCTAGTTCTGTCTTCTCCTGTATTCTGTCCAGTTCTGTCTTATTTTCTCTTGTATTCTGTCTAGTTCCGTCTTATTTTCTCCTGTATTCTGTCTTATTTTGTTTTGTATTCTGTGTAGTTCTGTCTGATTCATGATAAATTATCAGCTGATTAATTTACTGTACTTAATTAGCTGATTTATGATAAATTATAAATCAGCTGATTAATTAACTACAACAGTGAATATTCTATCGTTAATTTTCTTGCCTTAATAAATGCAAATTAGCTTATTAATCGTTTTCTTGTTATTTTGGTTAAATTATTAATTTTAAATTATAAATGATTCCAGTTAAAAAAATTGCCCCTCCACCCACCCCCCTCTTGTGACTGCCTGTTCTATTAACTAGGCCTTCTAACAATGAAAGGCTTGGATGAGAAATAGCCTGGGACAGAACTGAAAGGCAGTTTGATTTTTATTAATGATGTTTGTGGATAAAAAGCTGGTTTTCTATTGGATGATTGCAGTAGGTGGCTGCAGGACTGGTACTTTTAATATTAATAATATAACAATATAGACCACCATAGACACTCAATATATACTTAATCATAGTCAAATATATCCTTGTACAGACTAAATAAATGATTGATTGATTGATTGACTGATTGATTAATGGAAATTATGTTTTTCATCCAAAACATTGTAAATCCGAGGAGGAGTAAATTAAATGTTTTTTTTTGGTAAAGTTCAAGTTGCCTGTCCTTCCCCTCCCCTTAACAAAACTATACTATCTATTTGAGAAGTCCTGTATGCCGGTCCATTAGCACCTGATCCAATCAGGGTTCAGCCATGTGTTTGTTGTCTATTCTGAACCAATAGAAATAGTTTGGCGGAAACATCTATCTTTCTATCTATCTCATCATCCAATCCGAGTTATGAATCCTTTAATCGGAGCTATCAGTAAATGGAAATATGTACTTCTACTGAAACTATGGTGGAAGGTTAACAGTTTTAATTCAGACCCAGGTTCATTTTCTTGTACTTAATTTCAAATGAGAAGGGATTATAATCTTTGCGAATCAAGTCATCAACTAGCGTTTCGTAATTTTTCGTAATTACTTACAGGGTTTCCATCGAAATTTTCGTTGAACACAATTCGAAAAAATGAACGAATGAAATTCGTTAATTTTCGTTCGAAAAAAATCGAAATTTCTCAATTTCGCATCAAGAAGATTGTATTTTTGCGAAAAAAAAGATTTTGAAGGAAAGGTAAAAATTTTTAACGAATTTCGCGAACAAATGTTAACGAAAATTTTTGTTTTAGTTCAAATTTTCGTTGGCTGCATGAAATTTTCGCGAAAGAGATTGAACGAAAATTTGGAAACCCTAATTACATATATGCTAATTGTACGAATATATCTTCATTTAAGCTAACAAAAGTAAATAATTGAATTGATACACTTATCAAATAACGGATATATTGAAAACTAGTTTGTAATGATGATATTATTAGGCACCAGTTATAATAAGCATTGGACACAGTAACAGTGTAAATTAGAACCTGATGAACCCCTCGCTACATCAACATATATTATATATATACCACCTGCTATACCTTACTTACTAGCTTACTAGCTTACTATTCTAGCTAACTTTCATGATTTACTAGCTTAATATCTTACTATCTTTCTAGCTAACTAGCATATTGGCTTACTAGCTTATTAGTCTAGCTTACTTATTAGCTTACTAGATTAATATTTTAGCTAACTTCTAGCTTACTAGCTTACAATTCTAGCTAATTTCATAACTTACCTCCTTACTTTTCTAGCTAACTTCATGATTTACTAGCTTACTATTCTTGCTAACTTCTAGCTTACTAGCTTACTATTCTAGCTAATTTCATAATTTACTTGCCTACTATTCTAGCTAACTTCTAGCTTACTAGCTTACTATTCTAACTAAGTTTTAGCTTACTAGCACACTAACTTACTAGCTTAATATCTTACTAGCTTACTAGCTTACTAGCTTACTAGATTACTACCTAAATAGCTTAATATCTTACTAGCTTACTATCTTACTAGCTTACTAGCTCACTAGCTTACTAACCTACCAGCTTACTAA